GTTTCATGCCAAAATCAATATTTCTCGAAAACTAGGGACGGTGGAAAGCTGAAAATTTACGGTTATACTTCCAAGGATTGTATTATACATTTGCATGATTGGAAACAGCTTAGCTTCGTTTTTGTGTCTCGATTTCTAAATGATGAAAATATTCAGAAACGGTACATGTGAGTGTCTGAGGTAGTGTGCAATTTTTGTGAGCAAATTGGAGATTCGTAGGACTTTATTAAGCGAAGATATGAATTTTTCGTGATTTTCTGAGTCTTCAGTGCGACTCACATTTTGGATACAAACTTACAGTGGGTCGAAGCTGATGCGAACTTTAGCACACCAATTTGTAGACCTTGCTTTGCTCTATCGAATGGTACTCTGGGACCCCACTGAAATTGTGAATTGCATGACTTATCGCCGTAAGAAGTAAGAGTGTCTCAAGACTTATGTTACAACCCTAACTTTTTCAGAATGACTGTCACCCTACTGCGGAGGGTGACAATCATTAATAAAAAAATTTCTTTCCTCTTCAAATGCTGAATATGATTTAGATAGGTATAAATACAACGTACACCTTTCAAGATTCTTCTTAATAGCTTCAAGCGGAAATTACATTAAATTGAGTGATTAAATACCAAAAAGTACGCAAATTTTTTGAGAAAAAAGTTCATAACTGCGCACAGATTTAGAATCAGCGTTTTGAGATGCACCTTATGGTATACAGCGCATACCAAATGGCCGGGGTCACCAAGTGTCCTTTCCTTGTAAGAAAACATGAGGCCTCTGTTTTTCTACTTAAGCAGTTCTTATCTTTAAGGGACCTTCTCTGAAAGAACGCACAATCGAAAGTTTAATTTCAACAGCTGGTAAGAAATTGGAATTATCTAGAACTGTCAATAATAACTAAATAGGTTTCAAAAGAGACTCCTCTCTATGTCTAATTCGCATTAAAATGCAACTGCAGGAGAAAATACGCACGAAGAAGCATGACGAATGGTGTAAACAAACATTTGCGATTTTTCGTGACTTTATTTCTGCCATTGTATTCAAACTTCCTAACCAGGGATTGTATATAAATGAGAGATAAACTGCCAACACCGCAAGTTCTTCGAGAATTAGTGTTTCAAGAATTCATCGACGAAGTTCATGGCTAATATCCAAGACATTCACAAGTAACTTTTAGTTTCAAAAGCAATTTACATCTTTCAATCCCTGGCATTCGGCATGAGCGAATTTCGCATTGTCAAGCTTACGACGCTCGCTTTATTCGAAACAGCATACTTCTTGGAAGATTTTCACGAGACTCCGCAGGAGGTGACGCAGCAACTTTCTCTAAACGGCGTCCCCTTGACTTCATTTCTAACATTTTTATGATATGCCCTGTGTTCATGAGAAAAGAAATAGAAAAGTAGAACCGAGCAATAAAAAAAACATTTGAGACCTTGAAAAGAAACAAAGATGTTTGTATACCTCGCTGTGGTGGCATGCTGTGTCCAGCGCGCACCACCGCGCGCTTGGAACAGCATTGTAGCCACCATAGGATGGGCGGAAAGAAGAGTTGGGAGTCTGTTTGTACCACTCTTGTGACAATAGCGATGGGATGAGTACTCCCAAGTCCTGCCCTGAAAGAAACCCTGCAGAGTCGTCTTCTCAGGCCATAATTATCTATTTATATATTTATTTGTGCATTCGATGATGCTCCCAACGAACGTATTAGTTCAACAAAGTTGTCTTGACTAAACAAACGAGTAGACAATTAATAAGCGCTGGTTTTTCGAAAAATCAAACTGTACTGCGAAAATGAAATTTATAGCCCACTAAATAGGTATATAGATATAGGGATAAACGAAGGAAGGATGAACGATGTTGTCATCAAAAATTTGCCAAGGGAGTACTAGAAGCAAAGTCAACAATTTTCAGCCCATGCGGTAAGGTCACGAGTTACTCGAAGGAGCTCAACATGTGGGTCTTCGCAAATTGTATCTATTTCAAGGTTATTGCATGTGCTGTAAAAATAACATCCAGTTCCCTCACTAGGATTCTAGAGTAGGACTACGATATCAGTGTGGCACAATCACTGCGATTACTAACAAAGTCACAAGGGGAATGCAAACTCCAAAATCATCATCTTGTAAACAGTATGCTAAAAACCTTTACACATCGATTTAATTTTTACGAAACGAAAACTGCCAAAATCAAAAAGCCAACAAAATCGATAAATTTCTGAATGAGTTTCTTGCGCGTCATCATGTGCAGTCAATCTTTCAGAAGGATTGCGCTGTTCCTTAAAAAATTGAGCTGATTTGAGCATATCCATTGTCTACTGTTTACCAAAAGTAGCATGACCCCGATCCCGGATCGCGCTGGTTGGAGCTGCCTAGGTGTCTCCAAGCTATATGTGTTGAGGTATTCCTCACACAGCTGTCAGCACAGAAAATTTTTTTTGTCGTAAAAAATACTTTGATTCACTAAAAGCTGGAGGATTTTTTTCAACTCAAGCTTGACGCTAAACATTTGAACAAGAAAACTATGTCAAGTATGATTATGCATCTCCGTATATTATCGAAATTCGTAGGTTATTACCAAAGGTTCATCGAAAAATTCGCAGTTTACCAAGTAAAAACTTCACCTGTCCAGATGGATTACCTTACATATTTCTAAAAATTGCTTCTGGGATTAGGTACACCGTTTACCATAATGTTCAACAGCTTCCTCTTAAGAGATGAATTTCTTGAAATTTGAAGCTAGGGCTTGTCAAGCCCATCTACAAAAAAGGTCCTGAGAGAGCAGTAGGCAACTACCGTCCAATTGGCCGTACTTGCTCAACATGTGAGGTTATGGAGAGAATACTTTGTGAAGGTATTACTAAATTCTTTACCCAAAACAGTTTGCTGTCTAAAGCACAGAGTGGTTTTCTTAGTAAAAATCAACAGTATGCGCTCTCATGTCAACTTTTCCGCTTTTGCATAGTAAATGTATCGAGACGATATATCTCTGTGTGATATGTCGATTAAGCAAAATCTGATTCGGTTTCAGTACCCCTACTTTCATAGAAGCTCTAAGCCTATGATATACAGGGCTCATTGCTTAGCTTTTTGAAGTCCTTTCTTAATGGTAGACGCCAATTGGTCATCATCACAATGTCGTTCACGAGTTTATAGCACTTCTTCCAGCAGGCGCCTTCTGCTCCATTTATGCTGATGACACCAAAACACCATCAGAGATGCCTCTATCCTACAAAATGCCTTGAACGCTCTTACCTGGCAACTAAAGGTTTCTAGGAAAAGAAATGTGCCATAACTTTTGGGAAAAACCACCCTACATTTAAGTTTATGCTAAATGGCTTCGTCTTACATCGTCCCATTTAGTTCGAGACTTGGATGTTACATACACTGACAATTTGGTTTCAATGGCAACACCTCTGAAATATTTCAAAAGCCAAAAGCCGATAAAAATATATGTTCAAACATTCAGCAGTCATAATCCCATACTTGTGTTCGGATTGTTTACTACATATCAGTGGCGTACCCAGGATTTCCGCTCGGGGGCAGAGGACAAAAAGTTTTTTCGAATGAAGGTGCGTGGCGTTAGCCACGCACTCCGAAAAATTTTAGGAGACAATTTACAAAATCAAAAATTGCAGGCAGTAACTTTAGAAGAAATTTTGACCAACTTCGCTTTCATCTATAAGCCTACTACAAGCGAGCTTGATCGCAAGCTTTGTGATATTTTTGAGGAACCACAGCAAACAAATTTGAAAGAGGCCATCAGTTTAAGGCCAAAGTTGATTAAGCCAATCTTACTTCCTATAAGCGCATTTTTCGCGTGCAGATGCCCTGGAACGCTTTGATCGCAAGCTGTTTAAGTACTTCTCTTCTACCTCGTTTTGTTTAATTTTGCTTGATCACCTGCAAGGACGTGGTATGTTAGTCTCCAATTCTTCATCCTTACTTTATTAGTGTTCTTTTATTTTTATTTTTGATATGTTCATCCTACCCTGCTGTTACTGTTCCTTTTGTCTTTCGCCTTTCTGTTTTGCCGAATAAACATGGAACATGAAACATAGATGTGCTGTGTTGTGTTTTGTGTGTTCGATATGTGATGAAAAAAGATTCTAATGAACATTTGATCATGTATCGTTATGAGCAATGGAGCGAAAGAGTTATCTAGTAAGTAAAAATGAGCTCAAACATCAAATGAAGACTTATGATTTGAAAGATGTATGCGTCTTTGATAAGCAACGAAAACGGGCCAAGAATCTGAACTAGATTTCACGAAGATTTCCTGGTCGAACTTTAGATGAGAGATCGCCACATTTCCAAGAATCTAGAAGATTTCTCAAAATGCGTGATATGTTCAAAATCAGTCGAAAAAAATTATTTGAAAACGTGATGTCAGGTCAAAAAAAATGGATGCTCATGCGTTAGGACTGCATCTCATCGTTGATAATGCCTTCGTAAGCGGAAATTTAGTTGAACTGTTATTTAGTCTTTCCGGATTTTTCGCAATTTCTCCTGCGAAACAAAACTGAATCTGGCAAGTGCAAAGTACTTTATTATGACAGCTGATGTTCTTCGACAGAAGTCATACAATCAAATATTTGAGAACTGAACTGAGGTAAAGCAGTGCAATAGATAGTAATAATAACTGTTATAATAATAATTAATAATAATTAATATAATAATAATAACAGCACACCTTGTGAGCAACATGCATTCGCCTATTGTTTCGCTGATGCTGATGCTACCTAATGCTTTCTATACAAATTCTTTTCTGCTCTTAGTAATCATGAGAAAGTCCAAGCGTACGATTTAATTCATAATCTAATGCTCGAGGATGTTAGCTGTTCGCATGAATAAATAAACGCAGGTTTATGGAGGACATTTTCACCCCATTTCTAGCCATGCCTTGTTTAGATTTTCCTTAGCATTCCCCCAAAAATGATACGAATACAAGTACTTTTTTGTATAAGCTGCGTTTGTGTAAGTGCAAAATTGGGTTGCAAGGATATGGAAGGCAAGGACGTTGACTGGTTAGTAAATAATTGCTTTATAAAAATCAACAAATTTTCCCTGATTTTTTTGAACAAAAGCTCATTTACAGGTTCGCGGCTATCAAGCTACCGTCAGATGTCGACACAGCGGAAGGCCAGATATTCGTCTACTTTGATCCACTGGTAGGCGGATGGACGCGAAGCAAATTACTCATCAGCAGCAACAAATCGGCAATTGGAGCCACACTCAGCCAGCTTTATAGTATTGACAAGGTCTTTTTTCATTTTTATAGGGCAATTTTATAGGGCGATTACGTGGATCCTCTACGTGAATAATGATTTTGTCTTAAGAGAACGTGCCAGAGCCGAATTCGTGCTAATGCCGCGACGGAACGCCGCACGGTTCTGGCAGCATTGGAGACGGTGCTAGCACGGCGTTAGCATGAGCAACTCTGCACACAGTCTTGCGAAGCCCCCTACCCATAAAACAACTTATGTGATTTACTTGCGGTCAGACAATTCAATTTTGAAATTCCGCCCAGTATCGTACCCGAAAATTGGTCGGCTCATCCGGGATACGGTCTGGACGACAATTTATCCTCGACCTTCTCCGCCGCGAGTGAATCATATGATACAATTTACTTGAGACTTATACATGTAATTCTGAGTGTAGATTCACCTGAACGCTCCTATGATGGAAGCTGTAAATGAGCTTAGTCACTCTTCAGAAGAAAACATTTGCCATTGCATACAATGACGATAGTCCCGATGGACCGGTGGTGAGTGGTCTAGCTCACAGTAAAGGTGTGGCCGTGTTTGACAATTTCGTTGGATTCTGGATGGTACACAGTGTGCCAAATTTCCCACCTTCTAGGGGTAAGTGACTTTTCATACGATGAGCAAATTTGAGGTGAGAGGCGTGAACACCTACGGTCAGATGTGAAGTCTTGCACCCTCGTATCTTGTAAACCTGTAGATAAGTGAGAGGGTGGGGGGAAGGGAGAGAAGAGTGACTTTTTATACGACTGCTCCCACGTCATTCTGATCTTCCAACGATTCAATATTGGCACTATAACAGGTTTAACCCAGCTGGCTCCACTCCAAAATGAATTATCTACCACAGTTCTTGCGTTTTACGAGATATGGGAAACTACCCTCGCCTTTGCTTTAGCTTCGTAAACAGAAAAAACCAGCTTAAGTTAAAAGCAGGGCTCGGCACGAACTGGCACCAAAGAAGTTTCAAAACGAAATCCCGTTCAATCTTGAAAATTTCGTACGAAATCCCCTTTGACCTGTTTTGAAGACCCGTCATTATTTTTAGATTATGTAAAAGCATGTAGTAGGGTTTTCACGCTTGCTGATTTCATAAACCAACTCTTCACAGCTTTCTGAGCTTTTTAAATGATTGAATCACATGTTAAGAAGCAGAAAAAGGAGATTTTTCGACTTCGGACTAAATCGAGCTATTTTCAGATGGTTAAAACGCTGAAAAGAAAACATTATAAAATTATTTCTTTTCTGTATGTAAAGTTTTACAGTATAGATATGTTTCATGCAAAAAAGTATGAAAACTCAAGCAGAGTGTCGGTGCCAGCTCAGCCTTCTCTTCTCCGCCCCAGACCCCGGAAAAACGATATCCACTTTGCCTTCGTAAAAACGATATCCAGCTTGACCGATGTCAGCTGTGCCGAGCCCTGGCTAAAAGCGAAATTTTTAACAGAAATTGAATTTCTGCTAAGAATTTTGTTAAAAATGCTCAAAATTCTTCTTTCGGAGTTTTTCAGTTCTTGGGTCGAGATAATTCTTTCTTTGCGAAGGTTATTTTGAGAAATATCGCATCGCATCTTTCGACCTTTGAGCATGACTTGAAAGAATAAAGAGATGTATTAAAAACTCTGCATAAAAGAAAGTTAGAAAGTGTGATTGTGTCAATTATATGCCTTATACACAATTACATTCTTGTTTACAAAGTCCCCCTGTCCTTTGTAATCGATAAGGTGGTAATGTAGAATCCTGGCATAGGAGTGTTGTGAAGATTCGACTGTCGCTTAATCTCGCCATAGTGAAGTTGTTTGTTGTGGCTTGTTGAGCTGTAGACCGGAATCAGTAAAGTCGACTGCACGAAATCGCCCGGGTTACTGCAGGATGCACGCACGCGAGCGTGCCTGCAACGCGGGCCTAGTTCGGGTGCCATGATGACTCCTGCGCGCAAATACCAATGTTAGTCTGCAAGAGACACGCTCTCGGGCCTTCAGCTCTAGTCGATTCCGCGCAGTAAACTATATCCCTTTATTCAACTAACGTTTCGGCCATATCGCCTTCTTCAGAGTTTAATTTCGAATGCATAAACAACCTATCCTATCAAAAACCGCCTCAAAACTCAGAAAGCCCTCAACTCCATTGAACAAGCATCTCAGACAATTCCATGACACTCAGACATACACATGAAGATCATGACTCTGGCGTACGAATCCGAAATCCTAACGCGCAGGACTTTGAACGCGTTATGGACTACCGCCAAAAAATCCAAGAATCGAAAGGATGAGGATTTTTAGACCTTGTTTAACTAATACGTTCGTTGGGGGCATCATCGAATGCATAAACAAATGAAAAAATAAACAGATAAAAAGATATCGTCTATTCCCCACAGGATAGCGGGCGGACTTTGGCGCGTTTGCCAATGTATCCGCGTGGCGGCTTTTGATATCGAGAGAGTACGAAAACTAATGCTTTAAAATGTCTGCAGGGCCAAGCCCGTTATACGCATGGGAATCGCCTATATTTAACTTCAAAAAACACTTGATTGTGCACGTAAAATAGGCATTGCTCAAGAGTGCTCAAGCGAACCTGGGTATTTGACTCTTTAATGTGGAAGGGAAGCAAGCGCTTTACCAAATTGTGCATATGGTTTACCAGTGCTTCACCACTGCTTCGCAGAGGCTCGCACTGGCTTCTCTATCTAGGTGCCTTCCTCTTGCTCGCATGATATTCCGAAACTCACTATGCGATGCTGACCATCATGAACGAATTGTAAGCAACTACTCATTCCATGAGCTTTTCCATGTAGAAGCGGTAAAGAAGAAAGAATTCCTGTGTAAAATATTGAAAGAGAATTTCGGTCAGTTACTGAAGCTATTATGATCGGGTAGTTTCCACAAAGGACAGTTCCGTCACCTACATTTCTGAATATTTCTGAAAGAAATCTTCGCAAATGATTAGATAAATTCTTGACAAATTGATGATCTCCACAATTACTCCTTTTTTGGCGCTGACTTTGCATAAAAATAGATATTCTGCTCACTTTTGGAGATAATCTATGGTATGCGCATTGGTTTGTCAATCAAATCCAAAACTTAGCAGAAAGTACAATCCCGACCCACATTGGCCGGCCAAAAGTCGCGTGGACCCGTTTGAAGCGCAGTTTTTAAAAGTCCAATTATCGGATTAACTTGTGCTTTAGCACTGTTTATCTACATGCTGATAGGGTGCCATGACCAATATTTCAGCTCAAGACCTTGCCTACAACACGTTCTATGAATTTTATGATAGACATAGACATACACACACAGACAAACAGACAGACACGCGCTTCATTATCATGACTTATAACAAAGCGCTTAGCGTCTGTATTTTTGTCCGTGTGTGTGTATGTCTGTCTGTCACGAAATCAATGAAGGGAGCCACAACCAAGCTTTCGAGCTACAGTTTTGCACAACACACCGTACAGCATGTAGCTCCACTGTGTACAGTCTGCTCCAATCGGGATCAGGCCGAACCGCCGGCTGCATTTGCGCGGTCGCAACGCCGAGGGTCTGCGCTGCATACGCGCGCTGTCGCAGAGAGCGAAGCTATTGAGGAGAGAGCAGACTGACTAGCCGTAGATGCGACGCAATACCTTCGCGGCACGGGTTTCCGCCATGCCAGATTTGGCCTGGTTGGGATTGGGGCAGACTATACAGGGACGAGCCGTTTCGATGAGCTGGAGCGGGTCCACGCAGCTTTTAACTCGCGAAATTAGGGGGGCCCAAGGTGACTATCCTTATGATGATTATCAAACTAAAATAAATTTAGTAATTCGTACAAATTCGCATTTATTCCTTTGCAAAAAAAGTTTTCTTTCTCAAAATTACCGATCTTACATGGAGATGCTTCAAAACTGAACAGCTGTTTACAATTCATTTGTGATGTTATCGCGGTGAGTTTCAAAGTCATCACCATGCGAGCACGAGAGAGGCGTACGGATAGCAGAGCCAGTGCGTCACCTCCGCGAAGCGGAGGTGACGCACTGCTATTATAGATATGGTTTATTCTTATTTAAGAAATTGAACTGCAAACATTGGACCACCGCAGCCGCAGGTTTATGACGCTGATTGATTTGCTAGGAATGAGTAGATGTGGGCAAGAGTTTGGAGTCGAATATCTAAGCCACGAATGAATCCTATCAACTATCGTTCGGACAAGTCACAAGGGAATGGTCAGAAGTCGAAGTGGCCACACCAAACAAGCTGCATACCATTCAATGCAGTATAAAACGCTGACTTCGAATCTGCCTTTCTTATCTGCTTCTCGCTTCCGTGGACGAAGCTACAAGCAGTTTTATTGTGATAAAATCGTACATAAAAGCTGCGAGACTGAGCAAATTGTTGCACTTTTAGGTCAGCTTTAGACTTTGAGAATTCAAAGTAAGTAAGCTGTTTGTTTTGGCTCAGCACTAAGCGAACACGGCTCTGTACGGCCAAATTTTTACTTTCACGCATAATTTGTTAACAAAATAGCTTTGATAACTTATAGCTTCGTTCAGAATAAGCAGAAAAGAAAGACAGATTTGGACTCAGCGCTTCATGCTGCACCTAACGGTGTGCAGCTTATCTGGTTTGGCTACTTCGATTTCTGACCATTCCCTTGTTAGCTTAAATTGTAAATTCGTTTCTAGCTAAAAATCTCGAGTACCCTTGGCCGGCATTATTGATTATATCTGAGGTTGTCAGTGCTGGCTCCTGTCCAAAAGTATACCAGGATGTTTAAGACCAGAAAGGGATGTTTCATTACTCGCTATCTTCCAGGCAGATATTCCTATCCTGCATCTGGTGCTGTTTATGGCCAATCGTTCCTTTGCATGTCCATCAGCTCAAACAGTTTAGAAGATGTTGGCCAATACATGCGATATGCTCATGTGAACCCATATCTTACCAACCTGCCAGAATATTATAAAATATTGTCAGTCATTTTGTCTCCATGTTTTTATCTCTACGATCTAAATCTTTATAGGGCTCCATCGCTTGTCGACGTGTTAATAAGCAATCACTCCCTAAATCGGCAACTATTTTTTCAACAATTCGTGGAATAATAACACTAGGTGGAAAGAAGTTAATCGCATTCTCCAAGCATAAAAACTATGGAAAAGGTAAAATTGGTACAGTACACGAAACACACTTCCAACTGATTTACAGATCTTTGGTACGACTTAATCGCTCTGAATCTCAATTCAGAGATGGCAGTGGAAACATGGAGAAAGGGAAGTGCGCAAAATATCGGATCGACTTGTGATGGGAGTAATCCATCGAGAAATGTGAGTCAATAAGATAAATAAACTAACAATCATGATCGTCCAGAAATGCAGATCAAAAAACTCCTTTGTGCAGAGGCAATGACATCAAATGCATTTTATGTACATCTCCGATATGAACAAAACATATATGAGTTTATGAAAATGAAATTATACGCAAAGAAGCTTCAAAAAGTTAGATAAATATGCATAAGCTCTTCGAAAATTAAAAAAGTCATGATTGCCGCATAGTCAATGCAAGTTTGATGTTGGTGCTATAAATAGCCTCTACTAAGCATTCGCCGAAGTCCCGCTCCAAAAGATGAATTCGAAACTGAGAAAACCTCACCAGAGGGCAAAGGTGACCCAGGTGGCTCCGCCCATCAAAGTTGGTGGTCCAAAGATAACAACTCCAAAATTGAGCTTTAGTGTACCCAGAATTGTCATGAATCCGCCTTGTATTACAATACTCAGACTTCCGACATTTCCATGCACCCTGAAGTCCAAGTTTGGACTTGTTATCTTCAGGCCATCCGTGTTGATGGGCGGGGCCACTGGGCCGCTTCCATCTTCTGAAGCAGTATTTTCACCTTAAAATTCGTCTTTCGCTGCGGCTTGGGCGATTGCTTAGTTAGGGACCCTGCTAGTGAATAGCATCAAAACCTCATCAACCTCAATTTGGGTGGACGGTACTTGTAGCCATGGCCCACAAAAGCAAGAATAAGCAATTTATTGATAAATGGAAAAACCGACTTTTCTACCCTCAGATAATAGCCGGGGCAAGCGGCCATCGGAAAAATAGTTCGCTGATTTCTTGCGGTCCGCTTGCAGATATTTGGAAGAATTTTGACGGAATTTATAAGAGTGCTCTAAGAGCGATTGCGGCTTTGCAGACCTTCCGCGAGAATATGCAAAATTATTGGGGGCCCCACGTTTGTGAAGGATCGCACAGCCCATAGGTATCTTCCGCTGAGACAAAGTACCTCAAACTCGAGTAAGCAAACCAACGATGACACCTCTGCTAAAGTGCGGTCCATAATTATACGAACACCTTGAATTTTGAAAGTTTATAGACTTTTTGGAAGAAACTCAAAAAGCCGTTGGTACCACGCGATAGAGCACAGCCGAAAACGGTATATGATCCATAAGAATGGAAATCGATGTCAATCTTAAGAGTGTTTTTGCGCCTAATGCGAATTTTGAGCGGTTCATAATTATACGAACACCTCAAACAAAGGTCCATTTTTCAATCAAGATTGCAGTCTTCCGAGTCCAAATTTTTTGTAGAGTTACAGTAACAAAGTCTGACATATCTGCTACACAATAAACCCAGTGCAGTCCAAAAAGAGGATCTTTACTTTTTTCGAATTGCTCTAAATGCTTTTGGAGTGATTGTGCTCCAAAAACATCCATTCTTCTGTAGTTCACGCACTCTGATTAGCTTCTACCAAGGTTATGAGATAAAATAAGCTCCTTCGATAGGTATTTTGTTCAACGCTTGGAAAATCTTTGCGTTTCCGTGCCGTTTTTCAACCAAGTTTCAAACTTACCTTAGAGTTAGCACGATTTCAAACCTCTAAATTCAGCTTCTGAAGCCCTACAATGAAGTAAGCTTACAGTATGTAGAAGTTCACAAGCCAGTGTATTTGGCTAGAAAAGATCAGCAGCATTGAGCGTTTGTTTTGGCCACGCAGACGTCATTTCACCAAAACCACTGTTTTTACTATTGCAATCACACCTTTATTTGGTTTGTAGCTCCATAGCCTCAAGATCAGCTCTACGAGAAACCCAAAAACTTTGACATAGATACACCATCATGCAAACAATGCAGCTGCTTCATATCAAGTGTTTGCGCGGGAGAAAAGCTGAGTTTTGAGGCTCGAAATCGTGCTAACCTTAGGGTGAGGTTGGAACTTGGTTGAAAAGCGGCACGAAAACGCAAAGGTTTTCCAAGCGTTGAACAAAATACCTATCGAAGGAGCTTATTTTATCTCATAACCTTGGTAGAAGCTAATTAGAGTGCGTGAACTACAAAAGAGCGGATGTTTATGGAGCTCAACCACTCCAAAAGCATTTAGAGCAATCCGAAAAAAGTAAAGATCCTCTTTTTGGACTGCACTGGGTTTATTGTGTAGCAGATATGTCAGACTTTGTTACTGTAATTCTACAAAAAAGGACTCGGATGATTGCAATCTTGATTGAAAAATGGACCTTCGTTTGAGGTGTTCGTATAATTATGAACCGCTCAAAATTCGCATTAGGGCAAAAACACTCTTAAGATTGACATCGATTTCCATTCTTATGGATCATATACCGTTTTCGGCTGTGCTCTATCGCGTGGTACCAACGGCTTTTTGAGTTTCTTCCAAAAAGTCTAAAAACCTTCAAAATTCAAGGTGTTCGTATAATTATGAACCGCACTTTATATAGAGTGTTACCTCTGCTCGGCGTACGCCCGAAATTGCGTAACAAGAGTCGGAAAGTTCGCTGAAAGTTTTCTAGAGCTGAAAGTTTGGCCAGAGCTCGCTGAAAGAAATTATTCGACGAGCGCCTGCAGAAAGTGCAGTATTGCTGCCCGCTGCCAGAATATGCGAACGTAAAGGAAGTACCGCCCGCTGAATGTTTGACCACGCCCCAAAATTCTGCTGACAGCCTGCAGAAAATCGCGAGTTTGCGGACCGCCAGCCCCGGCGATTATCTGAGCCATTGAATAAAATAACATTTAGGTTTACGATGTCGATACTGTGAAACTACCTGGCAAACAGTTTAAATATTGGAAAGATCATTCAAAGTGGGGCGTATCGGGGAATCCACATGTAACTGCGGTCTGCATCGGAGACATAAATCGTCAAGTAAGACAGTTTTCGCATTTGAACTTTGAAAAGCAAAACTGCTTTACTTCAAGAAATCTCAATATAAACGCGGCGGCGGAGCTGTTTGTATTGAAGATGCAAGGTTATGGCAAGCTTTTATCCAATCAATCGATAAATATGATCTATGCGAAGTATGTGGAATTGAATAAAAAAGCAAACAATTTATTGCTGGTACATGAACAAGTATAGTAAATATCAACAGAAAAATATTATTTATCTAAAAGAGTTGATCGCATCCATAAGCCATTTTTGAACGCGCGGACTCTAGCATGGTACAGCACAGCACCAAGAAGAGACGCAGACGGTGAGAGACAGAGCGCTTTGTTTGTAAGAGACACAAAAGTCCGCAATAACGTCCAATCTTTGCAGAAGGTTGTTTGTAATGTAAGAAGTACTAATGATTTGTATGACACGCAAGATTACGAGCATGCATTGCATGCAAAATAAGGCTTGCTCTTTTCTCATTTGAAGTAGCAAGTCAAGTCTTCATTTGAGCTGTCATGATTTGCAATTGCACTATATGTGTAGAGCTGGTAAGCGGAGGAGGATCAGGCCTTTATCTCTTGTAATCGTTTTCTTCCTTTTTTTTTCTCGTTCAGAGTGACACTTGCTGCGCTGATAATTTCATAAGTAGCGCATATTTACGAAGAGACTAATGAAGTGAACGGAAGTGTCTAAAATGAGGCACAACACAACTTTGCAGCTATCTAGCATGTTGGGCATTTCGCGCGAGTAGATGCAACAGCCACCCGCTAACTCGTCGGAACACGTCGCGCACGCTGGAAAAGCCGCAGAAGGTGTCGCGCGCAACGATGATCTCATATGGAAACATCTTGACGTCGTTACAGTCGTGCAAAACGGCCTACACCCTTTTTGACAAGTTTCTTAGGTTCCTTGGCTCTTAAAACCCCCATCTTAGCGCTTTTCATGAATTTTTCAGCAAAATCAAAATGCGAATGCAATTTGATTTTTGCATGTAATATATAAACTTTACGAATTTCTACGAGATATTGTGTGCTTTCCATATAATTCGCTCGATTTTCAAGGTCTCATCTCGATGGCACATAATCTGGCCTCGACTCCTTTGAGAACCGATCCTTCATTATGCGCGTGTGCTGCGTGGCTAACAAAGCGATCATGCGATTCTCTTGAAGGCAGTGTCCGGGCAAAAACTCGATTTCTAGAATATGCACTTACCTGGGGTTATCCGCAACGCTGAATCCGAAAATCCACATCAGATGGCGCGTAGACGGCGAAAACATACATGTTTTTCAAAGCCGCACAATTTGAAATTCGACGGTTCCCGCCAAGGCAGAGACGCAGAGTCGGTGCGGGACCCTACATTTTAACTATGGCGGTATGCGTACCCTGCCGCATTGCAGGAATACGGACAATGAAGAGCTCGCCCCAAGGCGTAAGTTTCCCCACTTTCCGGTCGTTTTTCTTGCTTTAGAGCGAGCGTTATGACGTCGCACTTACATGATGTTGTGTCTGAGGGGGCCCACTCTCGCATGGCACTGAAATCCCAAAACCCCCATTTTGCCCGGACACTGCCTTCAATTGCCAGTCAAGCAAAGCAGATCTTTGACTCATCAATCTCGGCCTCTGGCATTCACACAAGTCATCTGCTCATCGGAAAGTCAATTTGTTGATTCTTTGTGAAGTAAGGCAGGATTGAAGCCATAAGAGCATGTGACTCATGTTAGTGTGAAGTAATGGATCTTTTGATCGATGGCCCGTTATTGAAGTGGATGGTATCAAGGATGAAGGGAAAAAGTGGGTATGAACCTCTTGAAGAGTGTACCGTTGTTCGGCCAATGTATTCTGAGTGTTTATCGGATGGAGTTCCAGACCCATTAATTGAGGTGTCAATCGAATCCATACCTTGTTAATCTCCGCACTGAGCCTGCATTTAGAACCCCAGATAATAGGTTTGAGCGGAAATCTTCCGAAAGCGCATAAATTATTATTGACGTTTCTCCACTTTAAAGTGATCGGAAAATCTACTTTGCCAGAAAAAGTTGTCAAGAAGGTTAGGTTTCTTACCTTAGGTTTTTTCGCGCGTATGTTCAACGTTTATCTCCCTGAAGCCTTGGATGAGCTTTTGTTCGACGAGTTTGAGTTTTCTTTTGTTATTTGGTACATCTTGAGTGTATTAGTGAAAATAAAAATTAATAAAATAAAATGAAGAAAGGATAGCTGCAGATACCAGTGACATCTCATCCTCAGCTCATCGTCACCTTGACGTCACCTTGAGGTGAGGTTGGCGAAAACATTGACCTCGCAATTTGGCCTCAGAACCCTTTTTGCTAGGAAAGTTCCCAATTGATGAACCATGGTGACCTTAAAGAAGAGTACACGCAATTTGTGGTGTCACTCAAAATAGATTATTTAATAACCGCGCTAGTTATCATGTATTGAAATTGTTTTGCATCTGCATTTATGCTTTCAATCGGAAAGTCCAGATAAAAAAATCCCACTCAGCAAAGTTTGATGAAGCCATAATGAAACAACCGACATACTTCCTTTTAGCTTAAAAATGCAATTATTTCAACAATACATTTCAATCTATTTATAAGAACAGAATGAGTGTAGAGATTCTCATTTGTTTATCTACTGCTGCAAATGCCGGGATCGTGAGTTGATCAAGATCAAGTGGTCAAGAATGTTTCGATATAAATCCTTCTTCACTTGCAGAAATGATGATGATAAACCAAAATCGTCGAAATCACCGCCAGACCGGTAAGATGTGACAAAATCGTCATATTTAAGTGGATATAGTACTGCTCAACAAATTTTTAGCTCAAAGAAATCGAAAACGGTAACACACGACAGGGCAGAAGTGAGTACTAGATTTTGAGCAGGATGTAAATTGTGATTCTTGTATGTTTTAGGTAGGAGAAGTTTTGTGGTGTGAAAGCGACGTACGTATTCCAGTTGTCAAGTTTTCTGTGGTCATGAACCTATCAGTAACAAACTACATTTAGCTATATCTGATCATAGCTGCTGTATTCCTGCTCATACTGGGCTTGTTCAGTTTCTTTGGTGACGGAAAATCAAAAGCACTAGCGGCTCTCAAGCTTATCTACATGGTATTTTATGCTTCTTTAACACATTGACGACCGCTTGACACACATGGTGTGTCAAGCAATGACTACCGCGTGGGACCGCTTGACACACCATGTGTGTCAAGGCTTGAATTTTGCTAAAATAGCTACTATACTTTGATAAACACACTCCACGGGCTTTCTTCTGCACTGAGTTCTAGGGATGACCTCCACCGTTATTTTCAGCCTTTCAGATCTACTGTAGGTGTACTGTAGATGGCAGTATGCGTAATTATAGTTAAAAAATGCGGGCTCGTACGTAAAAGGCCTTGGTCCCGGAGGGCAGACAACTAAAAATCTGCATCGTCGTCAATGTGTTAAAACAAATTCAGTACAAACAGCAAGTGCCCACGAGGGTTTAGCGAAATCCTTCTAACGCTGGCTGTTCTCATTTAGTTTTATCGTGATGTTCATTTTGGAAGCAGAGTGAAGTTGTATATACATTTTGACTCAACTTATCAATCAATAACCTTGCGTGTTGCACCATGTGCAGCACGGATTTCCTTTGAGCAGGGCTCAAATGAACTTACTACATTATTACACCCTAGCATTGTTAAGATTGCCTTCACTGCTGCTGTTTCCTATGGTGTGATTAAGAAACACGTACTCACGATGTCTGGAGTGTTAATAGCTACGGTAAAAACCTCTTGACCACAGTAATTGTGAGGATAGGTCATGGATTTTTTAGCTCGTTATCATAGTGCTTGACATTATAAGTATACTTGTTTCTCTATTCGGCAGCTCTACTTTTGGTAAGTGTGGCAATTGCAACTGAGTACGAAGTTTTTAGGATCTAACATTGAGCCTTTCTAGGTCAGGCGTTTGTTTCAATAGTGTTTTCGATTGCACGTATCGTATGTAAGTCCGCAGCTCCCAAAATAAGCTTTAACTTCATGTTGATCGTTGTCTTTGTCTGAGAAGCTGATATCCACCGATTTCAGTTTTTGTCCACTTCTTCTTTGTGGCTAGCAGAGTTCGCAGTGTTTACAAAAGATGGCAGGAAGAAGGACTTCCTAGATAATTTATTTTTGATTAAATGTTTTTTTTACGATTACCTCAATCGCTGAAGACAACAAATCAAATTTCTTCTAGTAGCAATGTGTCTCAACAAATCAAAGAAAGAGAAAAAGTGATTTGTTCTCTTTTGAAAGGACTCGGAAGCATGAAGCACAACGGCATCAGATACCTTTTTCTATGTGACTCTTTGATGTAAATCACTCTAAGGCCCCGGGCAGACTTCACGCGATTTGATCGTCGCGACTGAATCGCGAGGAGACAACTGTTACAGCATCATTCCATGCAGATCAACTTGCATTCGGTTGTGATACTTTTCCAGACCGAAATTTTTGAATGTGAAATGAAAATGAATGGAAATCTTGGCGATTTGGTCGCGACGATTAAGTCGCGTGAAGTCTGACCGGGGCCTAAGGAGTATATGGGACATGCTCAACAATAGAAAAGATTAGAATTGGTAATCGATGCTGGAAACTTCCAGTTCAATGTAAGGTTATGAATATGACGCTGAGATAGTGTCTCTGCCTAATGATATCGGAAGCTTGCCCTTTCAATGGCACCGGTGACGATTTGGGCTTCTAGCAGCTTGTTCATGAACAAAAGCTGCGGCAAATGAAGACACCGTGAGGAGAACATAAGCGCTTAATCTCTAGTAGACTGTATTAGAGTGTGGCCCGTAGTAAACTTCACTTATTATTTCTCACAAAGAAACGATATTAAGCGTCTGTGGCTTTTTAAGATGGAATATACACCCTTAATTATATACAGAGATAGTTCATAATTATACGAACACCTCATATTTTGCCGTTTCCCGGACTTTTTGATGAAAAATGCAAAAAACCATCACTACCATGTGAAAGAGCGTGTCGAAAACAGTATACAATACAAAAGCGAAATTCGGTGATAGTCTTGAAAAAGTTGTGCGCCGAACACTTTTTGACCGGTTCATAATTATACAAACACCTCAGTCAGAGACCTTTCTTCGTTCGATGCTGCAACCTTAAGCATTCAGAGTCTCATGTAAGGCTATGACCTTGATGTCTCAGATAACTACTACGCACTGGAGCTGATAAAGTGTAAAAAGGAGAACTTTATCCTACTTCCCTAGCTCGAATTGGCTGCGGACCAAGTCGGCCCTAAGTGCCTGCTTTATTGAAATCTCAAACCTTTGTTCAGCTAAAAGTGTTGAGGAATGAAGAGCCAATAAATGTGAAGTCTAACTCTCAAAAATACTGATGTAATCGTTCCAGTTGCCAGGCCAGTCCCAAACTCACCATTGGGTTGGCACAGTTTTGAGACTCAAAACTCCACCTCTGCCATTCGCAAAGACCTGCAATTTTGTAAGCACATCGCGAACTTACAAGGGAATGATCAAAAATCGAAGTGGCCAATCCAAACAAGCTGCATACCATTAGATGCAGCATGAAACGCTGACTCTAAGTCTGTCTTCCTTACCTGCTTATCGCTTTTCTAGGCGAAGATATAAGCCATTAAAGACCATTTTTTGCTAAGAAATTGTGCATGAAAAAGAAAATTTAGTCGTACAGAGCCACGTTCACCTCTTACTTAAAATTCTTAAAGGCAGAAGCTGAGCTAAAAGTGCAACAATGTGCTCAACTTCGCTGTTTTTATGTATTATTTTTTCACAATAAAATCGCTTGTAGTTTCGTCCACAGAAGCGATAAACAGATAAGGAAGACGGACTCAAAGACAGCGTTCTATACTGCATCGAATGATATACAGCTTGTTCGGTTTGGCCACTTCGACTTCTGACCATTCCCTTGTTAATTTTCTGTGCATGATGTACAAAAGATATTTTGCTTGTAAAATTTAAACGTAGAGCATTTTGTTTCACTATACATATAAAAATGAATAAGCAGCTCAATGCAAGCATACCTTTTCTTGCTTTCTTGCCCCGAAGCCTAAAAGATAGCTTTTGTGGAGACGTCAAAAACCCTAGCACAGATATGTTACATACAACATACATATAACGCAAATAGTGAACGTTTCTTCCAATCAGCGTTCCAAGACGAGTTTAATGGTATACATCTCATCTCAAAAGCCCATGGACACCGAGTGTCGTACACTTTTCAGATAACCTGAGATGAGCCATTCAAAGAACATTCTAGGGTAAGCCTAAAAGCGCCCGCCCTCCCATGCTTCAAGATAGTCAGTTGAACAGTCAGAAGACCGTCCGGTCAAGTGCCACGGTCAGTTCAACGTAATGCTACTTATTGTTAGTACTTAGTACTTAGTGCTACTTGGAGATAGTGTGCAAAAGAGGAAAATCATACAAAATCTCCGTAGTTTGCACTAAGTGTGCAAAAGGGGAGATTTAGATTTAGATTTAGATTTATCTGCCTCTCATATTATTACAATATGTAGCACCCAAACAAATTGATCCATTCTTTCAACGTGAGTGATCTTGCTACTCTTTGCCAGTTGCAAGTGCCAAGCTTTTTCTGAAATTCATCTCTCCATCTCACCCTCGGTCGTCCTACTGGACTTTGTTGAAATGGTCGCCATTCCAATAGTTCTCTTGATCATTTTATCTCATTTCTGTTGGCGAGTTTCCAAGCATAAATCCATTTCCTTTCCTTCGCGCAGGTCGCCAAATCTTTCACTTTGGTGACGCCACGTAACCATGAATTCGTCTTCTTGTCTATAAGGCGACTGCCAACCATTCTCCGTTCTATACGTCTTCCAGCAGCACTAAGCTGTTTCTCCATTTTCTTCGTCATTGTCCATGTTTCCGCACCGTACAGATCGCGGGAAGAATGCAAGAATTAAACAATTTTCGCTTCCACTTCATTAGCACTCTCTTCGATGTCAAGAAATCCTTATATTGGTTAAAAATTTGCTATCCAGCATGTATACGTCTTAACATCTCTTTGTTATTATCACGGGGAAGTGAAATAGACTGTCCAAGATAAACAAAGGATTGATCATGAGACCGCTCTTGCGTGAATGAATATCCAGGTTGTTTATCATCTCTTGTAATTCATCTCCACTTTTTGCAAACAAGACGACGTCATCAGCAAAACGAAAATTCGTGAGCTGATTACCATTTATGTAATGACCATAGTTGTTCCAGCTGATTTTTCAAAAAAACGTGTTCAAGTGTGGCTGTGAACAGCTTTGGTGAAAGTGGATCTCCTTCTCACTCCTCGCTCAACATTTATAGAAACTGACACTTCACCGACCTTTACGGTAGATTTGGAGCTTGTATGGATTTGACGAAGAAGAGTGATAAGCTGCCAGTGAACTCCTTGTTCTTCAAGAGCAGTCCAAAGTCCATTCAATTCAACGGTGTCAAATGCTTTTCCATAATCTACAAATACCATGAAAAGTGGCAAATTGTACTCACTTGTGCGTTCAATCAGTTCATTGATGGCATGGATATGATCAACCGTTGAATAATTCTTCCGGAAACCTGTTCCCGTGGTTGCTCTTGGTCGAGAATTCTTTCTAATCTTTGATTGATGACTTTGGCAAGCAACTTATAGACAACCGGAAGCAAAGAGATTGGGCGATAGTTGCGTAATTCATCCGAATTTCCCTTTTTGTAGAGTAAAATGGTTACTGAATCTGCCATCTTCGCTGGCACCTTGCTGGAGTGGAGAACTGATTAAATAGCTGTGTGATCAAGGGAATAAGCTGTTCTCCTCCTTGCTTAATCATCTCTACGGTGATGCAATCGTGTCCAGGTAACTTGCCTGCTTTCATCTTCAGTGCCATAGTTATTTCATCTTGCAAAAACGAATGGCAGGTTTCTTGTGAGTTTTGCGGAGTATATAATTTATCGACAGCTCGAGTATATAGACTTTCAAAATAAGAACCAACTATCCTGCAGATCTCTGACTTCGTTCAATACATCTTCCCTTTTTCATCTTGTATTCGGAAGAAATGGTGATATCTGTAAGATAGTTCTCCCTTGACTTTCTTCAAACTACGTGATGACCGTATGGCTTCCTCTAATCGTCTGCGATGATGAGAGCGATATCATCTTTTATCATTCTTCTCAATAGTTTGCAACATTCGACATAGGCGATGCGGTCGGCTGACGTAGACATCGTTTTCTTCATTTCTTGACGTTTCTTCAACATGATGGTGGTTTCTTCTTAGCTGCAGGTAGTGGTCTTCTCATATTCTGCCGACTTTGCTGCGTTGGTGATTTGCACAGTTCTTCATATCCGTCTGCCGGAAATCGTAGCAGCGACGGGCATCTGATAGAAATCTCTTGCTTGTAGAGTTCCCAGTTCACGCATTTCTGAATTTTTCGATTTCTCTTCCTCATCTTATCTGAGCTTGGCCAAAGAATTTTTCCTCGTAGAAGTCGATGATCGTTTCATAATTTAGGGATCCAGTCCTCACGCTTGTGCATTTGATGTGTTTGCAAGAAAGGATGTGGTCGATGCAATTCATAGTTTTACCGTCGGGTGATTTCCAAGTCCATTTGCGGCCTTTACGAGTTTTGAAAAAGGTAGACATTGCTCGAAGGATGTTTTCTTCGCAGAATTCAATAATCGATTGTCCACGAGCGTTCCTCTCTGTGTTATATCCGCAGCATCCTACCGAAATCTCGATATCGCTTATTCGTGTGTCAAGCTTTGCGTTGAAGTCTCCTAGCACAATTATATGTATTTCTAATTCCTTATTCTTGGTCTTCATGTGATAGGCTCTCTTGTTGTGGATGTGTTTTGAAGAACGCACTCTGCTTGGTTTCATTCTTCGTCTTCGTAATCCTTGTCGTTTGTCTTGGGAGGTACGTACGTTGAGAAAAATCTTATCGTGATTTTACCTAACTTCACATCCAAACTTGAGATTCTTTCACTTTCTCGAGTGAAGGTTGATATGTAGGGTAAAATTCGTTCACTTACGAGAAAGCCTGTGCCGGACAGACCTTGTGCGTGTTCAGGACCAGCATAGTAAAATCGATAATTTGAATGAGTAGATCCACACATCCAGTTCCTTTCCAACGCAGTTCCGTTAGGGCCAATATATCGAGTCGGGTGTTCTTCAGAGCTTCTTGCAGTTTTTGTAGTTGGACTTCGTTCGAC